TTGTTAACGTGTGAAGATTTCCGTGTTAAGTGTACTGTAAGTTCATCTCTGTAAGGATACGACTCACTTTGAGCGCAGTACCGTCATCTAAAGGACTGGAGGGAGAAACATGGCAGTTTATTCTCATTAAATCTAACAGGACCACATATAATTTTCTCTTTAATGTGTGTGTATATATATATATATATATATATATATATAGTGCTTATATTACAAATTAAAACAGGAAGATGGTTGAAATGTTGACTTCCAGGAAGTTTGCTCAATGAATCACCTGTTTTAGCCTCTGTTCACTAGATGTTACACAAAAGGTCAAAAGGCAACAAATATCATATTCAGTCTGTTTATTTATTTTCTTATTATAAATCTCTCACCATTTTTCTTTCTAAAGCTAAAAAAAGTAGTGTTGCTATAGTTTCAGTAGATCCTCAGGTTAAACAATGAGCCTTTGATATATTACATCCATTGCAAGCAGCCTTGATTACCCCATTATTATTCTTGGATGATGCTCACTTTTAAGACTTTTTTTTTTTTTTTTGGGAAGGTGTCCAAAAGAGATTATTGTGCATTCAATCCTGTTATGCTTTAAATCATCAACTAAATCACAGACTCCTCACTTCAGCCGAGCCCTGTGGCTAGGGCACTTCCATCAATGGCTTAATGGGCTCTTTTATACAGGTTTGTCTGTAATCTGAGGTGTTAGTTAAAAAAAGAAAAACAGGACATATAGAGTCTTCCGCACTTTAAACCACAAAAATGTATTGTATGTTGGGAGTGGCACAATATATTATTACTTAAAATGACATAAATCATCAGCTAACGTGTAAAACACAACTTGGTCTAGTCAAGCATAAAATCTATGTTAGGCATTAAAATATTTTTCCTATGCTACTTTTAAGCTTACGTTTTTTTTTATCCATGTATTAACCTAAGCTACAGGGACTGAGAACTGATTAAATAAACTGTATAATAAAAAAAATCCACATAAACTAAAAAATAATGAAAATTTTCCAAGAAAAGTTTTAGATGGTGGTTATATGACTCAACACCCAGGGTGTCATCGTGTCAGGGGGCAGCTTGGTAATGCTCCACAGGTTTCAGGTATTGAAAACTCAAAGAAACAGATTTTTCTTTGCTTGTTTAGCATTTAGACCAACTGCAAATTACACAAATATCAAATGTGGTAGAAATATAAAGCATATTGTGAATGTTTTCCTTAAGTGTTGATCAAATGCAACCTTGTCTTATTGTATGTGGCCTTCCTTTGAGCTCAGTCCATCCTCACTCCTCTGTCTCATAATAGCGTTCAAGTTTAAAAACTCAAAAGATTGATTTAAATAGAACAATACAGACCAGTGTTCTGGCTGGATCCTCTGTTGTCATCACCACTGTAATCCAAGTTTGTTCTGAAAGCACAGACAGTGACCTTTATGTGGGTCGTTGCTTTTATTCTTCGCTGTCGGGTATTTGCTTCTACCCTCCATCTCCACAAACACACATTCACTTAGAATAACAGGGAATTTTATGCTTCCTTTTACTTCCACAGCCTCATAGTGGGAAGACTGGGTCTCCTTTTTAATGTAAACACACACAAGTGTACAGTACACACAAGTACTGTACATACATCACCCCCCACCTTGTTTTCTTCCTCTCTCTATCTCACCCACACCCCAGCCTACCAGTTCAGACACAATAGCAGTCATTTAACAGAGGTTCCAAGGTGCCTGCATGTGTTTTGAGTAGATTTCCCCCTTTTTTTTTTATAAATATTTTTTAAATAGTTTTTTGGAAAAACATGACTATCATTTCAGCCTTGCTTTTGATTGATAATTTCATCTAATTTGTAGATTTTAAAGCTTAAAACACACCTAGATGGGTTCTAATTTCCTAAAATATGTTTAGTTTTGAAAGGTTTTTGAGGATCTAATATTGGAAAGTTATATGTATGTTTTTTTAAATTGGGAATAAAAGCAAACAGAGCAATTCCTTAATGAAATCCAGGGCGGGACTGTTTGCTCAGAGCTCTCTTCTAGCACTCCCTCAGTACTGAACACTGGGCGCTCTGTGTGTGGGAGTGTGCTGGCACTGCAGGGTTTTCCACATGTATAAACACACACATAACACAGTAGCAATCCTCTTCTCCCTTGCCACTCGATGTGAAGTCCTCCCCACTTGTCAATACGTACATTTTTAACTTCACTCTCATCATTTCTTTTTATTCATCCATTATGCTAAACATGTCTTAGTTTAACCTTGTTAAGGGCAAAGACCATGCCTGAGCAGTATTATCTAAAAATGTGAAAATCTCCAAGTAGATCTTCATTTTAAAGTCATTGAAGCACTGAAATAATGTATTTGTTAATCATATATTCTCTGAAATAGTGTACAAATATAACATGTTAACATTTAAATTAGTTTATTTAATTTTCTTAAAAATCAGAAACCTCATCAATGTTGTCGTTTAGTGCTAACAGTAAATGCTCTGACGTTTGTTTTTTATTAATGCGCCCCTTTTTACTCTTAGATTAATTAAGTGGCCTTTGGGTGTTTTTTTAAATCATATTAGGTTTAATTAAAATCATGAATTATTATGTTTTGATCTCTGCAAAACATTAAGCTTAATCTCCAAACACTGATGTGTGATTGACGAGGCAAATACTCAATCATAGAGAAGATAAAACAGATCAAATAAAATAAAAAGTCCTCTTCCTAGTTTTCACTGTAAAATAGACTACTAATTGTCTCTAATTGTGTGCTTTTCCTGCACAATAAAAAAAAAAAATCACATCAACAGATTTCAAACAGCAATCAGTTTCAGTTTTCCTTTCTTAAATAATTATTCAGTTGTAATGCTGTCAAACCCCAAATTAAACCTATATTGCAGAACTTCATTGATGCTTTCCAGTACTGGACTATAGTTTCCCTCCAAGAGCAAAAAAAATAAATAAATTCAGAGTTTCTTTAGCAGGATCTTTGTTAATCCAGATGGATTTCCTCCTCTTTCTCTCTTCTCCATCTCAAAACGTATCAGCTTGGTGCATGCCGTCACAGCTATAACTACATATGCGTGGTACACACCTGGTTACAACTCCTCCTACTCGTCTCTGAGGTTGCAAGAGATATTCTTAGCGCTTCTAGATGCCTCATAGTTCTTGCCATCCAGTTTGGTGATGATCCACCTCAAGCTCCATGGACCAGCCAAGTTAGTGGACAGGGTCTGGGCCATATCGACCAGGCCAAATCAAAATCACCAAAAATGCTTGACAAAGCATAAATTAAATCAACTCCTGTTCTTTAACTCCTGGGAAGATCTACCCTGATGTATAAAACTGTTGTAATGGTGAAAATTAGAATGAGGCTGCGAAATCCGCAGCAACACAGATGGGATGTGACATTTAACAGGTTAATATTCAATAGGCTGCTGGCTGAGCTTTATTTTAGTATGATTAATAATTGACAAATAATGAATTTGGTTTATTATTAGTTGAAAAACTGTTGTTAAGTATAGCATTGACCCTGAATTTAGCTTTATAACTCTATAATTTTGACCCACGTTACATCATGAACAGGTTAGCGCATCAGTTTTAGAAAAAGTTGAACTTAGATGCTCTATATGGAGCAAAACTGGTGCCATAAAATTTATTCAATAAAATAAGTTAAAACTGAATTTGTTTTTAAAAGCTAAAAAATTTAGTTGAAACTAAAAATTAAAAAAGAAAACAAGTTCTAAAACTGATTTGAACCTGAATGCAAATGTTTAGCACTACATTTTTCAGCATCACTTTTTTTTTTCATACAAAAAAAAAATTCTTTATGGACTCAATTTAGTTTGAATACTCTTAATTCTAAAAACTAGTTCATGGATTCCTCTTTAGACCGTTGCAACCTAAAAGGATGATCAGACAGCTGCAACTGGTCCAGAATCATTGCTGCTAGTGTCCTCA